GCTCTAACCTGAAGTTTGCCAATTTCAGGCTTTCAGAAAAAACAAACACAAGCAATACCACGTAGATGTCTGATCGAAAATCCTTTTACCATCTTGATGGGTTGTTGGACAGTTCACCGGTGCCAGATGTGGTGTAACTTGGTTGGTATGGAACACACTGTTATGGTAATTTCGATGAATTTCCCTGAAGAAGTTCGGACGAGATCGCCGAACGCAGGAAACGTTGGAATTACTCATTTCAATCTCGCTGAGATTTTACAAATAATAATTTTTTACAAATGTCTACTTCTCACTTGGCGCCCGAATATTTTAGAACTATTCTGTCAAATCTTGATGACAGTTCGTTTGAATTATCTCATATTCTTCACCGTAAATGCAGAAGAAGTATACGTTTTGAAGACGAATATTTCAACAAAAAGGGTAACATTCAAAGCCAAAAATATCGATTAAAAAGATTTTCCACAAAAAACTTACTGTAGTATATACTACTTATAAATAGATATAAGTAATAAATATATATATGTAGTCGCATCTTTAGAGAATTAATAATGATTCTTTCTAAGTAAACTAGAAAATGGATATCTGAACAACTCCTTATCAGAAAATCCTCATTTTATTGCCGGTATTATATGGATGACACCTTTATTCTTTGTGATAATGAGATCCGGATAGGAGGTACACGTTGTACTGTCAAATTTACGTGAGAAGAGGAATCTCAAAATAGAATTAATTGCCTTCCTGGATGTCCTACTTACAAGAAAACCAGATGGTAGCATAAAGAGAAATTTTTGCATAGGAAAAGTACATGGACAGGACAATATACACACATTTTCACAGCTTCGTTCATCTCCGGTAGAAAAAGAAATTTAGTAAAGATCCTCAGCCACAGGGTTGCAGCTATATGCTCAGAAGAGGTGTAACAACAGAAGACAAGGGCCAGACAATACATCATCTATATGTTAACTGTATCCGCCTTCACAAAGCCTTTGTTCTCATTTTTCTTCACGACCAATATTTCGGACATAAACACTGACGTTAATTACTGTCCACCAATTTTGACTAACAACCAGCTCTCACCGCAGAGGTAATTGAAGATGAGCTAAGGATTATGTATGATACTTTGATCAAAAATAGCTATCCCGACAAATTTATCAAGAAACACATGGCAAAGAAAGCGGAAAAGGACTACTCACTATCTGTAAACAAGAAGCCTCTTTATATATTCGACTGCAATTCAACGGTGACGTACCTAGTGTAATAATTACTAACAAGTTAAGAAAATCTATTCAAAGAACTTTTAATGCTGGTAAACTACAAGTCATGTTTTCTACATGACCTATAATGATTCTTCGATTGAAGGATGAGCTGCTTAGACTAACCACTTTGAATTGTATCTACCAATTCAACTGCTCTTGTGGTGCAACGAATTATATTGGCCGTTGCTCTAGGAACTTGATTTACCGTGCTCACTAGGGAACATCTACCAGTATGGTTAAATAAATGTGCAGTGAAAACCATCAACAGTTCGATATTATACCGCCTGGTACAAACCAGCCGGTCACAAGGTCACCATTAAAGAATCCTTCTCTATCATCATCTACTGGGTACCAAACAAATTGCCAAAAACATGAATGTACCGCATGCTCCAAATACCAGATGCCATCGCAATTCGCGTGAAAAGAACCAATGCTCTGTGTTCAAAAGAAGCAAGTCCAGCCAGCCATTACTACTGCCCTAACCTGTCTTCAGTAGAGACTATAAATTCATGAATTTGTATTATTATCTTTCCTAATTTTTCTGATATTCATCAAGTGTTAGTGTTATGTTAATGCTATCGAAATGAAATCTATTCATATTTGTTGATTGATTCGATGTTATTTGAACAAAATTAGTGTTGTTAATAACAACACCAATATGACTGTAGAACCTGATGAAGAGCAGGTTTATCGAGAAGAGTATTCTTTCTTCAGTAAACATTATTTTTGGAAAATTGAAAAATCATTGGAAATGCCACTAATGAGAAAATCAAGACGAGAAGAGGTCTAATACTCTGAGGAGAGGAGGAACAGAATATGCTTCATACTGGATGGATGATATTACTGGCGAATAGCGAAATCAAGGCGTCTGAAGTTCACCGATAGAATCCTTCTCCAGATAGAAGATTTTTTGGGGCTTGATTTTCCGGAGGATGCATTCTTAACCAACTGTCTAGTTTTCCAGCTCTTAGTAACCTCGGAAAGGAAGGATAGTTTCTTGGAAAAAACAGTATCGCCTCTAATGAATGTCCATAGCTTGAAGCCTTGTGTTAAACGAGGAAATCTCAAAGGAATAGAAATAAATGTGGAAATACAATCGTGCACTGTTGAGTCAGTCTTTTTCAGACGGAGAGATATTGACAAAGAAGGGACACAAACTATTGTCTAGTATATTTTGTTTAACGCTTCTTAGTTCAAGGGATACTGTAATAGCCAGTTATTTAATCTTTTGACCAGGTCCCAAACTAAATTTATGGAATTTACTCATGACATTCACTGAGGACTAGACATATAGCATTGGTTACATCCTAGTGACTAATATCAATGTGTCTTTTACAGACCTACAGGAGGTGAAATGTGAAAGTGTAGGACCGCGTGACGCAGGTTTGAATCTCCGAGGAGACATCAATTCCTTGAAAAGTCTACCTTGTTAACTGATGACTGCCAGGAAGTATGAAATCCAGATCGTGACAGTCGATACCGACCATCTAACTTCTCAACAACTGTGAGATACTCCTATAAGGCACAAGTTGCGTATCGTGAGGCCTTATAACTAAACTTGTCTCCCTTAGACTACAGACTTATTCCAGGAAGAGGGCAGCTTTGAAAAAACATTGAATTTTCATTCGAATTTCTAACTGAACGATGACCATTGAATTTGTTGGACCTTGAGTTTACGTTACTTGAAATCTGTATTTGTTCTACCAGTATTATACTGTCATTAAACTAAGTGACACGACAATGTTGTATACTGGTGAACTGTAATTTAGTTTTAGGCGTTAGAAATCAAATTCCGGAACTCCTTACCGATTATACTGTAGCAACAGAAAACAACGGCCAGGAAACACATCGTTTATTAAGGAAATCAACACATATTTATAGATTTTCATGTACATCATTATAGATTATTGTGAGTAGACAAACACGGTTTTCTGATTGTTGGTTTCTTGTTGAACGTTAATCTTTCATCTCTTTGTGGGCGTTTCTTGAAGTTCAGATTATCTATCTGCAAACTGTATCCGCCTATTCAAAGTTTTCTGTGATTGGTTGTTGAGGCAGTCTTTGTTCTTGTTCTTTTCTCATGACCAATATTGGGGACGTAAACATTGACGTAAATTACTGTCTGCCGATTTCGGCTGGCAGACAGCTGTCACCACAATACTACCGGCAAGCACATCTACACTGTTGTGTGGACATTAGTTGGTCATACATTTTCAAGCGGCTACTTGCTTAATCTGTGAACTTGTCAGTAAATGATGAAAGTTCGAAAGATGAAGCGAACATGGACTACTTCCGAGTTGCAGATTCGCCTTGCTGATGAGTGCTAATGACGGCGAAACATATTTATATATAGTCAGTGTCTTCTGATTAGTGATTTCTAAGCCTTAGTTAAGTTCCTGTTGTGAATCATAATTGCTGTACCTCCAATCTGGATGGTTTAATTAGTAAAATTTCCAACTTAACTTTCTGAATGATATCTCCAAAGTGAAGTCATTTTAAAGTTACTTCTGGAGACTTTGATGCTATATATATTACTAACTGGTTACGATGAATAGTTGGATATCACTCAAATCAAACAGTGATGACTACTCATGAGTCAGATTGTAGTGATCTAAGCATTGGGCGGCTACCTTGCTCGTTTGGGGGCGGTTTCATCAGCAGTATTTAAAGTTTGACTTCAGAAGTTCAGAAAGCCGAATCATCTAACCTATCTTCCTACCTCCCCTGCGCTCCCCACAATTTTAGGCCATTTCAATTGCAAATATCATTTGCTTATAATGACTCATACATTAACATTTCGTTTAGTTTTTCATATAAGATAGCACACCTGCGTATATGAAAAGATCAATACCACCTACTATTAATCAACTCCATTTTCACTCTACCTTACTATTTGTTGATTAAGTGTGATAGCCATTCATCCATCCATCCATCCTACTTATTCTTTCCCAACGTCTCTCCTTCTCTCTGTTCCAGCACACTACGTAAACAATTTTTTCATAGAGCTCACTACTGTATTAATTTTTTAAAATTTACTACTATTACATTACTATTACATTAACTTGTATAGCTTTATTCTAATATTTGTAATATCACCCAAGGTGGCGATGCATGAATGTGTGTGATATCCTCCTATGTCTTCTTCCTCCTACCCCTCTCCCTCACTCTCTGTCGATACTTCTTGATCTGCAGACAATTGTCTATGTATTCAGATTGACTTTCTTCCCTCCCCACCTGGAAAATATTACAAATATTTGAATTAAGCTATACAAGTCAATGTAATGGTAATGTAATAGTAGTAAATTTTAAATAAATCAATATAGTAGTGAGCTCTATGAAAAAATTGTTTACGTAGTGTGCTGGAACAGAGAGAAGGAGAGGAAAGGGATAGAAGAAGACTAAGTAGGAGGATGGATGGATGGATGGCTATCACATTTAATCAACAAATAGTAGAGTAGAGTAGAGTAGAAAGAAGTAGATTAATAGTGGGTGGTATTGATCTTTTCATATATACGCAGGTGTGCTATCTTATATGAAAAACTAAACGAAATGTTGATGTATGAGTCATTATAAGCTAATGATATTTGCAATTGAAATGGCCTAAAACGGAGGGGGCGAGGAAGATGGGAGAGGAGGACATGTTAAACGCTCTAAGGCCTCCTTAGCTCAGCTTACCCCAACTATTTTTAAATTACCAAAATGTGTGCATCGATCGATGAACCAATGAATTCAACGGAAATAAGCGAATATATATACTCGGGATCAGACTAGTCTAGATTAGAAGCTTCTCATTCATCTAGCGAGGCTCTCATTTATCCAGATAGCTAGCTAGCTGACGGACTGACCAACTGGCTGGCTGGTTGTGAATAAAATACACAATGAATACAGACGAAGAGAATGGCGAGTATCATGACACGAGTACATTGATCTTATTCACGAAGATTGCTGTGCGTCAATACAAGCGAAAGTATCCGGAGGATGAAATCGAACTGAATAATTTCGCAAAGAAGTGTGCAGAACATTGGAAGGTGAGTGTCTCTCTCTACTTCACTCGGTTGCTAACACTCAAAATACTAATAATAATCATCTCAGATGATGGAACCAGAGGAGAGAAAACGATTCAAGGAATTGGCTGAAATGGACGAGACGAGATGTGATCAACAACACGGTGGTGATACAAAGGAGGGGAGGATTGTTGAAAGGAGTTATGTAGGTCGTCGTGTAACTCCTTTGCAACCGCGATGTCCCTTGGAATTCTTCATGCAAGACTATCGTTGTGTAGTGAAAGAGATTAATCCAAACTGGACTTATTCGGAGACGACATCAGAGCTGCGTAGAAATTGGAAGGTGTGGGAAGACAAAAGGATGTATAAAAAGCTAGCACAGATGGATAGACAGCGCTATGCGGAGGTGAGTGAGTCACACACGATTCGTGTTTCTCAAGTTTTGATGAGATGATTTGTATTGGTAAGTAGGTGATTGTGTTTCCACTAGAATGTCCACTATAATTAGTACCTGATGCATTTTTTACTTTTCAGGAAATGAAAGCCTACATTGAAGGTAGATGGCATTTTTCGATGAGTGAGGCGGCTTCGAAACCTGGTTCAAATTCGGATTTTGCTGAATCCTGCGAGACTCCAATCCCGTGTTGCAGTACAGTGACGACGACGACGACTGGTGTTGTCGGTGATGACGGCCCTTTTTGTGTTTGTGGAAAGTGTATGATTTCAACGAAGCTGGGTTGGATTCCACTGGAGGAGGAGTCAGAGAAACGTGACGGAGTGGTGACCACCTCAACAGGGACGGTGACAACGACGGCTGCTGTTTCCGTTGGTGGTGATGATGGTTGTGGTGTCGTCAGTGATGACAGGCCTGTTTGTGTTTGTGGAAAGTGTATGATTTCAACGAAGCTGGGTTGGATTCCACTGGAGGAGGAGTCAGAGAAACGTGATGAAGTGGTGACCACCTCAACGGGGACGGTGACAACGACGGCTGCTGTTTCCGTTGGTGGTGATGATGGTTGTGGTGTCGTCAGTGATGACGGGCCTGTTTGTGTTTGTGATAAGTGTATGACTTCAACGAAGCTGGGTTGGATTCCACTGGAGGAGTCAAAGAAGCATGATGGAGTGGTGACGACATCAACGACGACAACGACGAAGCAGAAACTTCCATTTCTTGTGGAATTTCTCATATAGTTTTGTGAAGTGAATACCCTGTTCTGTTCACTTTCTGCTATTCCCTCTTCACATTTTCTCGTTTGAAACGTACATGAAGAATGATGTTGTTTTGACTTGAGGATTTACTGTATTCTGAGTTTGGTATTCGTGTGTGTAAGTCTGCCTCTTCTTATTCATGTTTCTGTTCTCTGTCATATTCCTGTTGCCACTACTGTGAATTTCACTCACATTATTCTTGATAGAATGATTGTTAATATTGTCATTATAATTACTACTACCATTTATACTACACGTGTTATTTTTGATTTGTGAATGTCGCGTTATAGTGGTATGAGTAGTCGGCTCACTATTGTTATTCTGCGTGTTTAGTGAGTGTGTGTGTGTGTGTTAGCTTGTGTTTCCTCAAGTGTTCTCAGTAGGTGGGTTTCATGTCACTGTGTGATTTGTGTTTGATGAGTTCGATGAAATCGTTGGGGGTGTGAGATGTTTAGTGTTTTTAGGCATTGTATGGGAATTGTTTTTTTGAGTTAGGGTGAAAATCCATTTCCTACTATAAATTTGTTTATTTTCATAATTCGATAATTCGATGTAGCTTTTCTTGTAGACATGATCTACTGACATGTTCGGCTGGTGATGTTAATTATCTTCTAGTATTCGGAGTACATAGGCGTGATTATGGGTGTAAATCTTAAGGAATTATAGGCTTTAGCTTAAGAATGATCAACCTCACACTCTGTCCCTACCTCCACCTACATATATGCCTGTACAAATTACTTTTCAGAATTTCGACACTCATTTTCTGAATTTATTGTATGCGATTGTGCTTTATTAAGGCATCCAGTGGAAGTACTGAGGAGCATTCTTCAAAATCACTTATCTTCGTCAGTGAAGTCAACAATTTTAAACTTTGGTTAATTATGTCCTCACAGACAATCTGATTTACTCTCCCAATGTCATAATTTAACCTATAAGGTTAGTTCATCGAAATCACAGTCATTGCAAGGTATTTTGCAAATTATATTATTTTGTTTAATTGGGTCAAACAACAGCGTTGTTTAGCTGACAGAGATGAGTTTGTCCTACGTAAGTGAAAAGAACAGGCAGTTCAGAAACGCAGATGACTGTCTTCCTAGCGATTTTATTCCCAAATGAAGCTGTACAATTGCATTTATACATACATTAGTTCACATGGATTCCACATAATAACGAAGGTGATAATAATTTTCAACTTGATATGAAAGTTTGAAGGTACGAATATAGATTACAAGTGGCTTAGAGACAAGAAATTCACTAGGATTAGAAAACAGTTACAACGATGTATGCAAAATTGTTATTTCATAACAGGAGAGATAAATTTAAGGGTAAATAAAGGGCAAGAATAATTATTTTCAACTTGATATGAATTACGAGGAGAGGCTTAGAAACAAAAGTTACTCAGGGATAGAATGAATTACTGGTGTGAACAAACAAAATGAGCATGGAAACAAATTGAAATCAAAATTTTCAACTGGAAATGTAAGTCAGGTGTGTGTGTGTGTGAATATAGACTACAAGAGGCATAGAAACAAAATAAACTACACAGGATTAGAATATAATTGTAAAATGGTTATTCTAAACGGACTACAAGTGTGATCAGAAGGAGCATGGAAAGAAACTTAATGTAACTGATTTTATTATAGCTGAAAACAAATATGGGATGAATTGAATGAAGGTAAAGAGAGAGAAAATACACACACGGAGAGCAAAACAAGAAAACTGAAGGCTAAGGGAACATATCGAACTAGATTCATGGTAGTTGTAAAGGCTGGACTATTTTCTTTTCAATACATAGCTCCGGCTTTTCGATGCATATGTTGAGAGATTCCGCAGTATAAATAAGTCTACCAATGGCACTGTGTTTCCGACTTCTTTGTACTGCGGAATCTCTCAACATATGCATTGAAATCCGGAGCTGTGTGTTCAAAAGAAACTAGGTTAGCCGTTACAACTACCATATGTTCCCTTATCCTTCAGTTGTCTTGTTTTGCTCTCCGTGTGTGTATTTTCTCTCTCTCTTTGCCTTCATTCAATTCATCCCATATTTGTTTTCAGCTATAATAAAATCAGTTATATTAAGTTTATTTCCATGCTCCTCCTGATCACACTTGTAGTCCGTTTAGAATAACCATTTTACAATTACATTTTAGTCCTGTGTAATCTTTTTTGTTTCTACGCCTCTTGTAATCTATATTCACACACACACACACACACCTGACTTACATTTCCAGTTGAAAATTTTGATTTCAATTTGTTTCCATGCTCATTTTGTTTGTACACACCTGTAATTCATTCTATCCCTTGCGTAATTTTTCTTTCTAAGCCTCTCCTCATAATCCATATCAAGTTGAAAATAATTAATGTCGCCTCTCATTCACATTTAAAATTATTTCTCCAGTTATCAAATATTAATTTTGCATACGTTGTAACTGTTTTCTAATCCTAGTGAATTTCTTGTCTCTAAGCCACTTGTAGTCTATATTCGTACCTTCAAAGCTTCATATCAAGTTGAAAATTATTATCACCTTCGTTATTATGTGGAATCCATGTGAACTAATGTATGTATCAAATAAAGTATAATTATATTTTAATAGTTTACACACAATGATAAGTTTTATTATATAACAAATATATAACAAAACTTATCATTTTGCGTAAACTATTGAAATATAATTATACTTTATTTGATCTAATCCACAATGCTCAAACAATTTACTGATATTAATGTATGTATAAATGCAATTGTACAGCTTCATTAAGGAATAAAATCGCTGGGAAGACAGTCATCTGCGTTTCTGAACTACTTGTTCTTTTTCACTTACGTAGGACAAACTCATCTCTGTCGGCTAAACAACGCTGTTGTTTGACCCACCTAGACAAAGTAATATAATTTAATAAACACAACGCATGGACTGTGGGTTGAATCAGCTATATAGGTCTTTCACACCAGTAGGTCGGCGTTAGTCATATCGTCTGTTTGGACATAATAATATAACTAAGTATGGAGTGGTTGACCTCACTCACGTAGATAACTTCTTTGAATAAAGGCTCAACAGTACTTCGTTTGCATGCATCAATAACACACAATTACGCACAAATGTGTAGGAAGTCGAGCGTTGAAATTCTCAGATGTAAGTAATAACTATAGATATGTAGGTGGAGAGAAAGACGGACAGAGTGAGGTGAGAGGTTGATTACTCAGTCCCCGTTCATCAGGTCGACATATGGAACGTATGCATTAGGAGGCAATGATTCATCTTTTTATCATACCGAAAATATGCAAATGGAAAATACCGCTACTACTAGCAATCATTAAGTCGATCCACGAATTGAAATAATTATGGAATTATATAAAGATGTTAGAAAGTTGTATGAGTCGTGCCTTGATATGATCATGAAGAGTAATTAATGTCATCGGTAAATCACACTCTATCATTCACTCACTGTGTGCTTTCATCAAATAAATTTATCAATCAATTAGTGTTCATTTATGCTTTTGATGACGGAGAGAAAGAGAAACAAGTCGTAGGCTCCACATCATTCTCTTATGGGTAAAATTATGTTGACAAAGTCTCACAGTGTTTGTCATACAGTAATATTTACTGATGACCAAGTTTCGAGCCCAATTCCGTGAACTGTTCAGTCAGGCTTAGTTGTTATGTATCTAACAAAAAAACGAGCAATAACTACCCTAAGTAGTAAGTACATCAACAAATCAAAACGATGAAATGAAACAGACAGAAGGAGAATAGCTGGTTGGTGTCAAATAACTAACTATCCTATACAATTCAAAAGTACAATAAAAAAATAACAGTGAAACTAATAATGATAACGTAAATAAGAGAGAGAGAGAGAGAGAATAAAAGGCATCTACATTTTCAGGATGTAAAGAGGGACACCTGAGACCTTACGTAGAATTCTTAATGAAGCAGGAATTAGAGATGGTATTCAAACCTTCTTAAAAATTCACTCATGTAGGACAAGCTCTGTAGTTTAACGACCCTGTAGATTGATCTAATTAAATCAAATAGTATACTTTATAAAATACCCTGAAATGACTGTAAGTGACGTCAACTAGATAGGTCAGTCAAACTTGTAGATCGGTAGTAGTCAGACTGTTGGATTATAAGAATATACTTAATTGTAGAATGGTTGACTCCGAGAGATGATAAGTAATTTAGGAAAAACCTCAGGATACATTATAAAGCAACTGCACAATAGAGTACATGGAAAAGGGTTAAAATTCTAAGAAGTTAATCTAGGTAGGTGGAGAGAGAGAGAGAGAGAGATTGATTACTGAATCCTGGTTCATCAAATAATCTTCACCCAACACGTGCAATAGGAATGACTCATCAATCATACCGGAAATGGAAATGGAGAATACTACTCTACCAATCAAATCAAGTGATGGAAAATAATAATGGAATGATATAAAGGAACTTGGAAAGTAGTGTGACTAGTGCCTTGATATGATAATGAGAGGTGACAAATTGCGGGAAATATTGCTGTATAGCACTGTGAAACTATATCAAAAAAAAATTTTATCCATAACGGAATTATACTCTACCACCACAGTGTACAGGTTTTATTCTTATATCAATCCCCATTATTCAAAGTCCTGTACCCGGAATTCACCTACTGTTAGCGTTAACCACGGCAGCAACTGAATTCTTCCTAATTATCTGTCAATACTTCACCTAATCTTTTATCTGAGGCTAATTTTCGGTGATAGGATACTCACCAATCACATATGTGATCCAGATTCGATTCCTGTACTCACAGATCTCGACTAATTTACTCTACATATCCCCTTTAAATCAGAGAACAATCCCATAGCTCAAAGCTTGAAACCTCATGTCCAATTGGGAACAATATAAGAATAATATGCAAGTATTACATTCGTAGGGATTTTCTCTGTTTGATAGGATGGAGGATTTCATCATGAGCTGACTGACATCATTTAGAGAACCATTGGAAAACCAGCTGGAGGTGCTGGACAGCCAGCTGTTTCGCCAGCCTAGTTTGGAACTCTTCATCAGTATGCTTCTAGTGGCTCAATAGTCTACGAGCTCACTAGTCTTGTAACCAGAAAGTGCTGGGTCCGAACCCTGTCGGTGGTGGGTGCGTACTGTTGAAGAGTCCCAAACTAGGCTGACGAAAAAGCTGG